CGGCGGGGCCGGTGCGGCCCGCTCTCTCTCGCGCTTCCGAGGCTGCCTGGCGGGCGCGCTTCTGGGAGACTGCGTGGGCGCTGTTTACGAGGCCCACGATACCGTCAGCCTGACGTCAGTCCTGCGTCACGTGCAGAGCCTGGAGCCGGACCCGGGCACGCCGGGCAGCGCGCGGACAGGTGGGCGGGGCGCCACCCGCCGGGTCCCCACACCTGGGCGAGGGTCGTGCGGCGAAGTCCCGAGTGTGAAGGCCCCTGTGACCCGATCGGTTCTCCACAGCTCTCCCGGTAGTCCCCTGTCAGAGCGCAGGCCTCGCCTAAAACCTTAACGTGAGCCAGTGCCCACTCGTCCGGTTCGGTGGTGGCCAGCTTTCTCAAGCTGCTGGCCCGATGTGGGCGTCGGCGGGCACTGTCCCCAGCCTGTGAAAATAGGTCCCTTCCCTGGGCTTGTGTAGGCAGCTCATCCTCCAGCTCCGGTCCAGATGTCAGCAGAGGACTCGGTTCTTCTTGGAGCGTGTGGAGAACAGTCAAAGCGGGCCATCGTCAGATCCCCGGAGGACACCTTAAGTCAGAGGCGTTTAGAGATGGAGGAAGGAGAGGCAGGAAGACAGTCACAGAACCAGAGGGAAGAATTTCAGGATGGAGGCACCGGTGTGCTACAAAAAAAGTCGGGGTAGTCTTGAACCCGGAAAGCCATGTCAAGTGTGTCGAGGAGAACATGGAAAACGGGTGTTAAAGGAAGCAGGGATGAGGCAAAGACAACTATTTTTTATTTCATTGTAGTTTGGTAAGATTTAAAAAAAAAAAGTCGTGCTTTAGGTTGAGTGGTAGTTGGAACTCTGTGGCTGCAGAAAACCCAACATAAGGACTGAGTGAAAAGAGCTCACAAACCTAAGGAATTCGAAGGAGGTTCAGGAACTCAGCCCATCTCCTAAAGGCCTGGTTTGTTCCTCTCTGCCTTGAGATTGCCTTTGGGGAATGACATGCTGACAGCCCTTTCCCCCCCCATGTGGCTCCCATAGCCCTGTAGTAGATGTTCTCCTTTTGTTACAATGCTGCAACCTGAGTGTGGGGCCTGGCCCTAATTAAGCAACTGGCAATAAGAGATGGGTGGCTGATAGTTACCATGCACTTAGGCAGAGGTCAGTCTCCTGGGCTGGGACTGAAGAAAGGTGCCCCTCAGGAAGATCAGGGCACGGTGAGCAAATGGAGGGTGTGTGATTGAGGATAGGAGACTAGGGAAAAGGTCTGAGGTGGCCTTTACCTTCGGCCAGGCTGAGGGAGACTAGGAATGCAGTTACTGTTATGAAGCTAAGATGTAGAGACCACCAAAAAAAGAAAAAAAAAGGAGAATGGAGTTTGGGCTACATGAAAGGAGTGGACTGGCTATTTGAGGAATCAGGGAGGCACTTATTAGGAGAGTCTGTTCTCTGTAACAGTCTTCTCTTAAGTGAGGCCACATTACTGTCCCTAGCAGGTTAGTAACCTCTTTGAGTATGACATGTTAGAAGTATCAAAACCTGAGTATGGTGTCATACACCTGTAATCCCAGTACTTATGAGGAAGAGACAGGAATCTGTCTAATTCTAGGCCAGACAGTACTACACAGTGAGACCCTGTCTCAAATACAAAACAAAAGGGACAGCAGAGATGGTTCAGCAGCTAAAAGCACTGGCTGTTCTTCTAGAGGACCCAGGTTCAATTCCCAGCATCCACATGGCAGCCCACAACCATCTGTTAACTCCAGGCTCAAGAGATCTGATACCCTCTTCTGGCCTCCCTGGGCACCAGGCATACATGTAGTGCACAGACTTGCATGAAGGCAAAATACCCATACAAATAAAAAAAACAATTTAAGGAAGGGGGATGTCAGAAAACCTGCAGCTGAGGGGGAAAGGAGATGAGGTGGGTAGGGAGCAACCCTAGCTGGAAGGACTTGACCCAAGTGCTTGTACAAGGGAGTCCGTGAGGTGGAGGATGGTGAGGAAGAAGGGGGGCACGCTGGGAAGAATGTGGATACCAAGCCCATGAACTGAGACCTCTTCTTGAAGGCAGTGAACAGCTGTTTGATGAGGAGAATGAAGGGAAGAAGCAACCTCTTCTTACTGAAGAATTTGTGTCAGCATTGGAAGTGGGAAGCAGGAGAGCCCAAGCGGGCCATATTGAGATAATTAGCAGTGAAGGAAGAAGGGAGTGGAAGGGCTCCCTTCGGAAATCAGCAGGGCGTCATGACTGTTGTGGAGTAGCCAGTTGTTGCAAATCCCAAGGCTAAAAGCTGAAAGAATTCATAGCTGGCAGGAGGAAGGGGTAAGAGGTCAGCTGTTGGGCGTTCTCCCAGAGCCTTTGGGACACTCTAACCCTACCTCCCTCTTCCCTGCAGAAACCTTGTACTATACAGATGACACCGCCATGGCCAGGGCCCTGGTGCAGTCCCTACTGGCCAAGGAGGCCTTCGACGAGGTGGACATGGCTCACAGGTGAGGGATGTGATCCTGGTGTGAGGCCAGGCGGGCAGTGGTGCTGCACCCCTCAAGAGAGGAACTATACCTGTGCATACCCAGCAGCCTGCCCTCAGCAGGGCCCTTCTCAAGGCTGACACCAGCTCCCCGAGCTGAGGGTGCCAGCACAGTTAGTACAGGCAGCCTGGGCACTTCGCACCTCCTCTTTCAGCCCGGCGCAACCCTTTCTTCTAGCCCCGGGAGACATCTTTGAAATTCTTCGTCTGCCTTCTTTCTCTTCGCCAGGTTTGCCCAAGAATACAAGAAGGACCCTGACAGAGGGTATGGGGCTGGAGTCATCACTGTCTTCAAGAAGCTCCTGAACCCCAAGTGCCGTGATGTCTATGAGCCTGCCCGGGCCCAGTTCAATGGAAAGGGCTCCTATGGTAATGGAGGTGCCATGCGGGTGGCAGGCATTCCACTGGCCTACAGCAGTATCGAAGATGTACAGAAGGTACTGAGCAGGCGGGTCACAGACACCTTTCCCAACTGATCTGTAGAGACATGTGACAGTGGCTCATCCTCTCCACAGTTTGCCCGGCTCTCAGCCCAGCTGACCCATGCCTCCTCCCTGGGTTACAACGGTGCCATCCTGCAGGCCCTGGCTGTGCACCTAGCTCTGCAGGGTGTGACATCCAGTGAGCACTTCCTCGAGCAGCTTCTGGGCCACATGGAGGAGCTGGAAGGTGATGCCCAGTCGGTCCTGGATGCCAAGGAGTGAGTATGGGCTGGAGCTGGGGCTGAGGGAAGTCAGAGTGTGCAGGTCAGGGGTGGGTGTGGGCACTGCTGCAAAGCCGGGTCTTCCTGTCTTCACTGGCAACTGTATGGAGTGATAGGAAGAAGCCCTTTGTCTCAGTGGATTCATGGCCCTCGGTGTCCCAGAGAACAAAACATCTCTGGTCTTCTCCCAACCCTGGGTGGGACCTGATTTCCCCATTCCTCTTAAGGGTCCCTTCCCCTACCTGTGTCTCTGCCTGCTCACTCTGTCCTCTAAAATCATTTTCCAAACCCTAGGTTGGGTATGGAGGAGCGTCCTTACTCCAGCAGGCTGAAGAAGGTTGGAGAGTTGCTGGACCAGGACGTGGTGAGCCGAGAGGAAGTGGTGTCTGAGCTAGGTGGGTGGACCCTGACTAATATATTCCCCAGGTGTCCACAGAGAGGGCTGCTGGGACAGCTAGAGCGCTTTGTAGGGCCCCTGGCAGGGCTGTGCACATGGTGCCTGCAGTCTTAAGTATCAAATCCCCAGAAATGGCAGCTAGTTGTCGGTTAGTCTACCAGTGTGATTATGGGTGTTAATTTATCTGGTGCCTGTGCTTGGGCACCACAGAGTGTTTTACAGTGACTCACATTTCAGTAGCCCTGGGAGAGAACAGGAATCACAGCCAAGGACAGACCTTAGTGGGACCTTGCCTGGCCACCAGCAGGTGTGGTGGGCCCCATAGTCTGACTGTAGAGCCTGAGGTCTCAGGCATGGCCCTGCACAGAGCTGGGAGGGCTGGCTCTTGGCAACGGCAGGACGCCTGTGGCAGGGAGGGAGGTCAGGTTCCTACCTCCGGCTTTCCCACAGGGAATGGCATTGCTGCCTTTGAATCTGTGCCCACCGCCATCTACTGCTTCCTGCGCTGCATGGAGCCTGATCCTGAGATCCCCTCCACCTTCAACAGCCTCCAGAGGACACTCATCTACTCCATCTCACTTGGTGGTGACACAGACACCATAGCCACCATGGCTGGGGCCATTGCTGGAGCTTACTATGGGATGGAGCAGGTGCCAGAGAGCTGGCAGCAAAGCTGTGAAGGCTATGAGGAGACAGACGTCCTGGCCCAGAGCCTGCATCGGGTCTTCCAAGAGACTCTGTGAGGACCACAACCTCAGCGGCCTTGTCAGGCCCGTCAGGACCAAGGACAACTCAGGTTGCAACCAGAGTCCCCTTAAGCTGGCTCTGCTGACAGCGTTCCTAAAGGCAGACTGAGGGTGCGCTTGGGGCTGGAGTCTGTGGAACAGTGAGGAACTGGTGCCTTCTTGAAGCTGAAGGGGTATTTGTGGCATTCTTTTCCATCTAGGACATGGGACTTGAGAAGGTGGCCATGACCTGCGGGTACATCATATCTCCCTGTTGAGTTTTAACCACTGTGACAGGACAGAGCCAGCAGGTTATGTGGCTCTTGAGACTGGTGTCTGCATCCAGCCCATCCATTGCCAACCTGGCCTGGCCCCTCTCCTTGACAGCCTCTAGTGGGATTCACAGCAATAAACGGTTTTTTGTAAATCTCAGCATACCCTGTGTGTTTCCACTGGTGCACTGTCTTAAGTAGTGGCTCCCTGCCTGCACTGTACTCTTCTAGTACTGGGACCCCAAGGCGTAGCTGCTGTGTTGTGGGGCAGTCTTCTCCTTCCAACCAGGGAGGACAGAGTAGGCCTGATCAGTGACTTTTCTTATTGGAGGTCACACAGTGCTGTCAAGGCATCTGGGCAAATGCCTTGCTTGAGACATTGGATAGAAACAGGCCAATTGTTCTGACCTGGCAGCCTTGTAGAGTGGTACAGAGCACCCACCTCTGATGGGAGTAGGGTGTCACCCCAGGTATCCCAGTGAACTGTGTTGTATGCCTCCTGTGTCTTGGGGCCCAGGCTGAAGGCCTTGGTTTGCGAGGAGGTTCTTTATACTATTTGTTACAGGACAGTTGATGGTAGGAGTAGTGGCACGCGCCTTTAATCCCAGCACTCGGGAGGCAGAGGCAGGCGGAACTCTGTGAGTTTGAGGCCAGCCTGGTCTATGTGGTGAGTTCTAGGACAGCCAGAGCTACAAAGTAGACCCTGTCTTGGGAAAAAAGGGAGAGTTGAAAATACACCTTCCCACAAACCATGAGTGTGAGCATCCTCGCAGGTTCAGTGAAGGGACAAGCATGCGCAGCTAGCTCAGCGGTTGACCTGAGGCTTCAGGAACTTGAGACAGTTGGCTTCCATCAGCGTAGGCCGATAACAGGGCATAGCTTTTATCAGGTCTGCTGTCCTTGGTCCCCTGAGCCAAGGACATGCTACTACTGTGTCTGGCGAGCTATGGGCAGGTGCTTCTGCTCAGGACAGCCCCCCCCCCTCCTCAGGACCAGAGAGCCACAGCTTCATTCATAATTTGTATCAGATGTTGTAACTTGGCCCTTGGGATCCTGAGCCAATTGTCATGCTCCACTGCTCCTGAGGGCTTGCAGGAATGTTCCAGTAAAGTTCAGTCCGGCTCCAGCCACTGCCCTTCTTCGGTTTCACAGAATGCCTCCAAGTTTGCCTGGTGGTGCTGAGGCAGCAGGGGAGCCTCAGGAGCCTGCATGGGACGCTGTAAGGGAGGGTGCACGCCTCAAGAGGCCAGAGGAGTGCCTGGACGCCCGTGAAGCCTCTCTGGACTGAGGTCAGTGTCACAGCAGCGTTTCTACAACAGGTTTTATTGGGGATGGTCCATACAGTCAGTACTGCAGTTTTCAGAGAGAAATCCCATTTTTCTGACACCCCAATGCATTTTCCCTGAACCTGACATGGGGCTCATGATAAGTAGAGAGAAACTTCCTACACCAGGTTAGGAATGAAATCACAAGTGGAAAAACCTAAAAAAAAAAAAAGCCAGAATCCAAAAATGCACAAGGTAAGTGTAGTCGTCATGTCGTCATGTCAGAGCCTGACACTGTCAGAACTGCTCAGTGACACCTACAGCTCCCATCCGCAAACACTACAAAATCGCCAGCCCTTCCCTAAAGGCTTCAGGGTAGAGTCTGGCAACTCTGCTCTGATACAACTTTTGGGGCTCCCTGGTACCCTACTCAGTCCCCAGGGCTCCCTCAGAGTCGATTAAGCTGCCCATCAGAACTCATCCCTAACACATCAGATTAGTGGCTTTGACCCCGGGAAGGAGGAGGCTGAACAAATGTCCCAGCAGGGATGCTCTGACTCACTAGTTGGTTCTCTTGGGCAGAAAAGTACACTGAGCCCTGGGCAGAACTTTTTCTTGCTGGCAGGGGCAGGCTCCCCCTCTGGGAGCTGAAGTAAGCAGTTAACTAGGCTGCTTTGCAGGGGAGGAGGCTGGGCCCTCAGTCCTCAGCCCATCAACAGGGGCAGCTGAATGCTCCCAAACTGGAGCAAAAGATGGGTTGCCTCTTGAGTGTCCCAGATTTGCACTCGGTACAGTGATGCAGGCTGACTAGGTGAGAACTGAGGAAGGCCATGGACAATGGAGAAAGCACCCATCCTTACACAGGTAAGAGTATCGGCCATCCCTGACCCCAGCATTGACCCCAGCCTGAACTGGGGGCCAAGGAGCTAGGAAGCAAGTCCGCCTATTTCCCTGCAGGAGCATTGTGATAGGGAGGATGGTGGAAGCCTCCGAAGCCAGCTCATTCCAGTGGGGCCTGCTGGCATCCTTTCTTTCAGAGCCTCAGCCTCTTGGGCCCTACCCTGCTTAGAACAGGAAATTGGAAGCAGAGAGAGGAAGTGCCCACAGATGAGTCCCTCCGGCAGACACTAAATATCCACAGCATAGTTCTTATTAAGGAGGAGGAAGTCTTCACCCACAAGCTTGTGTGCCTCTGTGCAGAGGGCCAGAGACAGGCGCTCTTGAAGACACTCGGTTTGGGGTTGCAAGGGTCCCCTAACAGTATGATGATGAGAAAATTAGCCTACCCCCAGCAGGTGAGAGGAGAGAGGGAGGGGCACTCATGCCTGCCGATCACTTGTCCTGGTTGACTCTGCCATCGCAGGGATACTACACAGAGTTCCATCTCAGCCCAGGGCTGTCCACCTCACGTTAAAGAGCCAGAGCCAATGGGAAACAGAAGAGCTACCAGTCTGCCTCAGAGTCATGTCCCTGTCCCCTCACAGACCTCTACAGACGGCTGCTACTGGCTCTTCAGGGGCCAGTAGCAAAGGCCACACAACTGTCCCCACCAGGATCATTCCCGGGGTCTAGTCAAACTGACTGCCTCCAGGTCCCCCATTCCCTTCTTCCCCACAAAAGGAAACAAAGACTTCAGGGAACCTAATGTCATATGCTGGAGGCCTCCAGGGAGCTGGACGAGGCCCAGTGAACTCAGGCATCACCCCTGGCCCGTTCCATGCCATCTAATGCCAACAGGAAAATCATGTCTCCCAGCAGCTTCCAGGGCTCACGAGGGGGCCGGACTGAGTGCTCCGGGTGCTGCCTGCAGACCAGGCAGGTCCAGAACAGGGTACAACCCCCACAGTGCACCGGAGGAAAGGAAATTAGGCCAACCTCTTCCAGAACCCACTTCGGCCTACACACGGGGAAAACAGGTCAGTCTCCTCGGGCCGAGGCCGCCGCCGCCTCTGTTCAGCCGTTGGTGGTTTTCTTCAAATGGCCATCTCTAGAACTGGAAAGGTCTCTCTATCACTAAAGAGGAGGAGGCCAGGGCAGCAGGGCCCCCCACGGGTTATGTAGGACAGAGCAAGAATCCTGAGAAGGAGGAGTGGATGTACTCAGTGGAGTAGAGGCCGTTGGCCTGGTCTGAGGGCATCTGCACCCACACCTGGTCATTGGGCCGCAGCTGGAGCACAGCCCCTCCAGACGCCTGGTCCAAATAGCCCTTCTTGTACTCGTCGTAGGTGTAGGTGGCTGGCACGTTGTTCTTGTACAGGGCCACCCACACATTGGTGCCCTTGACATGCACATGGTAAGCAAAGTAATAGACGCCTCCCACAGGGCAGGTGAAGATACCAGTAGCTGGGTTGTAGCCGCTGTGACCATTGTAGAGAGTCCGGTCAAACCTAACTGGCATGCCTGAGGCAGGGAAGGGGGAGGTGAGCAGAGCGGTGAAGGCCGGGGTAGCGTGTGCTGACAGCTCCCCCAGCCCAAACTGTGGCTTTCCCCCCTTGCCCAGTACAGCCCCCTCCACTCCACCGTTGGGCAGGTGCAAGCCTGCAATTCCAGTCTCGTCAAAGGCCCCAGGGGCACCAGGAGGGCCAGGAGGCCCAGGGGGCCCAGGAGGACCTGTGAGTCCTGGGGAGCCAGGGACTCCAGGGGGTCCTGTGGGCCCAGCAGTGCCAGGTTCCCCCACTTTTCCCTCTCCTGGAGGCCCTGGAAGGCCTGGTTCACCCTTTAGACCTGGCAGACCCTGGGGCCCGATGGGGCCAGCTGGGCCCTGCAGTCCTGGGATTCCAGAGGGGCCCCTCAAGCCAGGCTGCCCAGGAAGCCCCAAATCACCTTTCTGTCCCAGGGCTCCTGCCACCCCTGGCCCTCCAGGGCGACCTGTAAAACCTGGCTCACCCTTGGGCCCAGTTGGTCCAGGGGGTCCATGAGCCCCAGGAAGTCCCCTCTCACCAGGGAGCCCAGGCTTCCCTGCCAGACCATTAGGCCCTTGGTCACCCCGAATGCCAGGCACTCCTGGGGGACCTCCAGGTCCTACCTCTCCCTTGGGTCCAGGGAGCCCACGTCTACCAGGAAGCCCTGCAGACCCAGGGAGGCCAGGTGGACCCCCAAGGCCCTGTGGACCCTGCTCCCCTGGCTCCCCATCCTCTCCTGGCTCACCTCTGTCCCCCAAAAGCCCTGGGGCCCCAGCTGGGCCCCTATCTCCCTTAGGTCCTGGTTTTCCTGGCATCCCATAGCCAACAGGGCCTATCAAGCCAGGGGGACCCCGGAGCCCTGGCTCCCCTTTAGCCCCTGCTGGGCCCTGTGGCCCTGGTATCCCTGCTGCCCCTGGTACCCCCACACCGTCTACTCCAGGGGGGCCTTTTGGACCCATAGCTCCTGGCTCTCCCCTAGAGCCTGGAACCCCAGGGGGGCCAGAATCGCCTTTGTCTCCTGGGGCTCCTGGTATCCCATCCAAACCTGGTTTGCCCAAGCCAGCTGGACCAGGTAGCCCAGGGGGCCCAGGGGCACCTGCCTGCCCTGGGGCCCCAGGAAGCCCCGGCTGGCCTACCCCATTATCCCCCTTGAGGCCCCTATCACCTCGGGGTCCAGGCTCTCCCTGGGGTCCTGGCTCCCCCCTAAATCCTGGAGGCCCTGGCATCCCCTGGGCACCTGGTTTTCCAGGGACAGTAATGCCTGAAGGACCAGGAAGGCCAGGGGGTCCTGGGGGTCCCCGGAGGCCCTGGTCCCCTCGTATCCCTGGCTCTCCCCGCAACCCTGGCTGTCCTGGTGGTCCAACCTTGCCTGGGAGCCCTGGGGGACCAGCCTTGCCCATCCGGGAGAAGCCAGGGGGGCCAGCAGGGCCTGGCTGCCCATGAAGCCCAGGTTTTCCTGTGCCTGGCTTTCCTGGGAAGCCAGGAGGCCCAGG